TGTGTAGATATTGGATGTCCTAGAAATGGTCATTTGTAAGGTACAGTTTGATTAATCTTTTGATACTGCAACTCCTTCTGCTTGAAGCTGGACCCAGGCTGTTTGTGTGGGTACTGCTGGAGGTCTGGGGAAAAACAAGTCAATTTTTTAAAGAAGAGAACAGCTGTTGTTGATTTCCTCAGCCAATTTCATATTGGTTGGCTGGAGATTCATTCTATTAATCTCTTTGAAGATACAGAGCAGACAATGTAATTAAACCTAGTTTCAGGTTAGAAGAAATAATTTACCAAAGTATACCATTTAAAAATCTCTTATGTAACTTGAGAAAAAGAAACCAGTCAATAACATCATTAAAAGGAGTTAATGCGGTAGTTAATTTCTGCATTTCCATAATTTGGGTTTTGCTTAAGATTACCTTACACAGATAGGATATCACTAGATCTGTCTAAAATGTGAATGTTTCCTAAAAGCAGTGATCATGTCACTAAGCAGTTAGAACTTACATGTGAAAAGATGAGAATTAAGGCAGCAGTGTGTCTAATACTGTGCTCTAACTGTGGGCTGCTAAAGGCTTTTGTCTCCTTCCTCTTCAACCAAGGGTTTCAGGGGCTTGGGGGAGGGTGAATAAGGCTAAGTTAATGAAAATTCGCTTTGGTTTGTTGAAACTCTGCACAGGGTTTCAGGGGCTTGGGGGAGGGTGAATAAGGGTAAGTTAATGAAAATTCGCTTTGGTTTGTTTGGGGTGGAGAAAAAAATCAACTGCTCTGCAGTCAGCAATTATATGTGAGATTCCAGGTTTACTTCTAGTATGTAGTCACAAGCGACCTAGCACAGCCAGATCCCAAACAAGTATTTCTTTCTGTAAAGGCTATACTTCTCATTTCCAGATATTCTAATATTTAAGGATGAATCGGCTTCTTTGTGTGGCTTACCTTGCCCATGCAAAAATATCCTTCCCTTTGAATTTATATATGATTGATTCTTTGAATAGAAATGGCACAGTGTTCAGTGTCAGTGCCTTGTTTTCTTAACTTTGGTTTTTACTTCTATTTGCAAACATTTAGTGGTGGTAAAAGCTGTTCTAAGCATGCATGACTGCAACTGTAAGGAAGCTGGTACTAAAAATGAAGGACTGGAAGTGGTCTTTAGTGCATTCAGTCTAACTCCCTGACCTGTGAAGCAAGGACTGGCTGTATCTTTCCTGGAGATAGGGGGTTTTGTTGTTTTGTTTTTAAAGCTTTTTTTTTTTTTTTTTTTTCTTAAAATCCGCCATTGAAAAAGATTCCGTAATGTGAGATAGAGTTTTGTAATACTTTCCCTTAAATCCTTTGCAGCTCTTCTCCATTCCAAATCAAGCTGATGTCTGTCTGTTCTGTGCTTAGTGGGACAGAGATTGATGGATCACCATACCCTGTGTGGAGACTTCTAGATATTAAGAGACACTCAGAGGAGTAATAAAGGAATTTATTCATAAGTGGAATGTAGAAGTAATGTTTTAAAGACTATTTTTTCTGTATAGGAGATGGTATGATTTAAGCTTTGTCTCTAGAAAACTTGTGTGTTAAACTCTGCACAGGTAGCCTTCTCTTTTCCTCTGACTTGTTGGATGCCTGTTTCCTCCCTCTTTTTTTTCCTTGTGGAGGAAACAGTTGCCTGTTCTTTATCTAGTGTGTTTTACCTTCAAGGATGTATTACTCCCTCCCCTTTTTTCCATTATGGCTCCATCACATTGTTCACTTATCCAGAACCTGTCCAAGAAGTGAGTTTGAAAGCTGTTTAGAGTTTGCAGTCCTCAAAGTTTCTTCTGTGTATTTATAATGTTAGCTCTGTAAGCACAGACTTCTTGAAGCTGCAAGTAATCAGACAAAACAAAAGAAGTAAAATACTGTATTCTGTGAGGCAGCAAGCGCTCTGTGTGGGGCATTTTTCCATCCTGTCCTATGCACAAGGAATTGCAATTGTGATTGTTCTGCCTGCTTAAAAACATCTTGGTGAGCCGCAAATAATTTAGATGCGCTTCAGCTGTGTTGAGAACAATCTAGCTTACAAATGACTTTTAAACTATATATAGACCATCAGTTCTTTCCAACTTTGTGGCATATATAGGCAAGATACTCTTTCTTCTTGGAGCTTTGCATGTACCATTTTCCTGTCTTTGTTGCTGGTGTTTTACAACTCTATCTTTAAATACAAACCCCAACTTAAGTCTTTCTGCTGCAATAGCTGTGTAAGAGTATGCTCACAGGCTAAAAATGCCTTACTTCTGAGATAAAAAAAGTGGCCTACTTTGTAGTCTTATATTTGCTTAAGAGTTTGTTTGAAATTCAAGGATGTTGTCAGGCATAGTATTAAAGCCCATTATCTAAACTGTTCTGTACAATCCTGGAAAATTTTAGCCTGGATGAAGATACAACACACACAGGTTGAGGAAGATGTTCAGCAGTTAGAGGCAGATGGTCTGTACTATAAATCTAAGCATGATTTAGAAGAAGGCTTCTCATGTGTGAGAATTAGCTTTCCAAGTCTTGTGAGTAGTTGATGGAGTTGAATTGCATACATATTTGTTAATGTTTGTGTTTTGCCTTGTGGAAGATTTTTCCAAAGGCACTGTTAGGTACACGCTGTGAAACTGTTCAGCCTCATTTTGTTGACAGACTTTTCCGTCTCTCTCTCTCCCTACTCTAGCATATTTTTTCCTAGACTATAGCTTGTACTTCATCCTGACCAAAGCTTTGTGTAAAGTACTAGAGGCTTCAGCTGCTCATGTCACTTTGGTTTTGTTGCCTTGCTGTCTCGATTAGCATGTAGCACCTCGGTGCGGACTGTGCAAAGACAAGAAGGTGCTATTGGGAAAGTATTCAAAATAGTCTTTATTTAAGCGGTACTCAAAAGGTTTTTGCTATATGCAATCCTGCCCAAAAGAGTGTTTTTCTTTGTATTTGTCATTTGGAAGACACTAATGAGATATAATTCAAACAATATTTTGAATAAAATCTGTACATCAGTGCAAAAACTTCTGATTGTGAAGCTGTCAGGCTGGTTCTGAATAACATGAGCTTCTGTTCCACAGCCTTTTCAAAAATGTGTGGTGCTTTAAGTACATGACTCTAAATCATCTCTAGTTGGCATTTTGGAACAAATGGAACCTTCAACACTTAGAACTTCAGAGCTCTAAATTAATCCTTTATTTCAGAAGGATCCAGAAGCTTCAACTAGATTAAAAAATCGTCAGAAAAATGATTTCTGACATCTAGATAGACTCGATATCACCTTTTTAAAAAAATGTTGCATTAGACATTTAAACTGTACAAAGAAAAAATCACTTCCTTTCATTGCAATTGTGACTATTCACAACTGGATAGTTAAGTGTATTTCAAATTTGCTTGAGTAAATCAAAAGCATTTTTTCCCAATACTTGTAAAAATAGTGTCCTTTACTCAGGAGTCCAATATAATCTCAGTAAAGTACCCAATTTTATTCATATAACTTAGAACTTTTTTCATGAAGAAATTGTAAGCTTGCTTTCTTCACGCTGAAGTGGAATATATGTTCATGTAAATATTAAATGATTTGAACTTTTGAGGCATGGCATACAGAAAATAGGCTGAAATATGACTGTCACAAAAATAATGTAGGAAAATAATTTAATGGCAGTTCTTGTTACTAAATATGGGGTGATTGGTACATTTGCTGATTATATCCATAAGTGTATGCTTATGTGTATAACTGAAACAACAATGGATCACGTTTTACATCGATGAAGGATCTTTATGTTTCAGACTGTGGATGGGTGCTGAGTCATGTTGGAAAGGACCTTCATGCAAGTCTTAAAACATCTGTTCGCTAATCAATGACTTGTAACCCGTTTTAGACAGCTTTACAGCTTTGCTAAACTAAACCCTTGATGCTCCTCTTGTTATCTGGGTCACACATTGTATTCTTACTATTAAACCAGACCCTGCAAAAGCCATTTTGTGATGAGAGATATTGGCCTTTGCTAGGTTCCTCTAGCCTCCCACTTTTCCTGTCCCTTTATCTGAAACAAATTTTTTTTTTATGTCATCATACTTGAAAAGATAGCTTAAAAAGTATGTGTTTGAAATCCTTTTTCCTCTCTGCCAACACAATCTCAGTTTTAAAATGAAACTTTCAGAAATTGAACCTATTTGCCATTATACCTTTCCTTTAGCCTTTCATATATTTATATAGCTTTGTTTTTATAGTGAGGTTAATTTGTATGAACAAGGGGGTTTTTCTTAAGCTTCTGAGGAGAGAAATTGGGAATATTTATTTGATAAAATCTTGATTTCTTAGACTATTAATTCACAATATTGCTGGTGGTTTTTGAAGTGATGGGTATCTTTTCTAAACCCTCTTTACTGTCATCCTGCCTTACGTTGTTTGGTACAAAATCGATAGAGCAATAATGTGCTGAATCTGATAAGCATCACAATGTGTCATTTTTCGTAATGTATCACTTCATATACTAAAACATACAGGAAGATAGTTGAACCATTTAATATCTCATCTGTGTTTCATTCAGTGGTTGACTATAAAGACTTAACTTTTAAACCATAGTCAGCCTATGCATTTCCACACTTCACCAAAAGGGCTTGGAAGTCAATTGATGAGTTATTTAGTGACTTAACTGTTTAATTCCTGTATGGGTTTTTTATGGTTAGGCACAACTGGACGTGCAGCGTCTGACATAACTAAACTATGAGTTAACAGTGGCCTTGTTTGTAACAAAAAACTTGCATTTAGATATAATATAGACTGATAAATTCATTCCATTAATATCAGTGCATATTTGTAAAATTAGTTTTAAGCAATTTACACCAATTTTCTTTTAGGACTGCAACCTAGTGGGTTTTATACTATGGTTTTGGTGTGATAACTATTTTGGGGGGGAGGGGGAGTTGGATGAGATATTTTAATTAGTTAAAACTTGTGTGGGAGTTTTTCAAAGGTTTAGGGGTTTCTTCCTAAGAGTTTGCTTATACCTTCGCTGTTTTGTTAGTCTAATAACATGTGGATCTGTAGCAGAGCAAGCTTCTTCAAGCTTCAATTTAGCACAATTTATATGAGCACCGTTGGTAATTCTGTGCCAGCAACTGTACTAGTGTACAGATGATTGTGTTTGCATGGAAATGCAAAGATAGACTGAAACAAACTGTAACTGTTGTTGCATCCTTGCTAACAAAGTTGAGTCCAGTTGTCTCAGTTCTGGACTATACTCTCTGTGTGCACATATCCAGTCTTACCTACTCTGTGTGCTTCTGCTCACTGACATACATATGATGGCTCTTGTGCTTCTTTACTGTTGTACCTTGTACAACTTCAGGGTATTGTTGCTAAAATTCGGGAGAGCGAAGAGGGCATTTGGAAGCTGGACTGCAGGGGATGGCGAATGGAGGCTTTTAGCAAGGCATGAACCTCGGTAAGGAGAGATGGTGCAGAATGGAAAAAGCTTGCTGGGATTTCTAAGAAATGGCTTCTTCATGGATGCTGGTCAGAGGGCGGCGCGGCTCTGATGAATCAGGTAGTTAATGCAGCCATGTCTCCTGGTCTGCTGCTCTTCTGAGAAAGGTGAGTAAGGGGAAAGGGGATGACAGTGGGGAGCAGGGAAGGAGCGGAGAGAGGAGTGGCCATGAGCATGGTTAGAAGTGAATAATAACTAAACAGATACAATATTTTCCTGGAGGATGTTGACCCGTGCAGGAAGAGTCCTGTCCACAAGGCTGCCTTCAGTTCATTAAATAATCCAGTGAATTATGGAACAGAATTGGTAGAACTCAAAATCATTAGGAGCAGTTAGCTCACTTCCTTCTGGTTACCGAAGAGGCAGTATAAGAGAAAAGAAGGGAGGACTTCTTAGGTGAAGGTGCCTTGATAATGGAGCTATTCGTTCTGCTATTAATTTCTCACACTTAAAAACATAATCAATAAAACCTAAAACTGCATAGACTTTTTCCTATTAAATTGCAGATTCGGAATGCTCACTCTGCTGGAGAAGGTCTCTTCATTCTTAATGTGAAACCAACAGCAACTGAAACACATTGAATAAAATTGATGTCACTTTTGCAGTTTTGTTACACTGACATCTCTTACTCCAGCATCAAGATTTGTGGTTTAAGCAATTTTAACATACGTTTGTAAATCAGATACGTGTTTATGACATCCCAACTACTAATGCCTAGATCTATAGAAATAATTTCTTCACTTCCCAACCCCAAACTAAACAAACTTTAATATTGTTCATATATTGAAAGCTTTATTATGACTTTCTGATGTCTAAATACGTTTCTTTTTTTTAATTAAATGTAAGCTGGGGTCTTGTCAGGCAAACTGGTATTACCACCTCTCTTTCCTTGTGAGGCTGTCCATCACGATATGCTATGTTCTCTATTTTGTGAATGCAGCTGGTAAGATGTATGTGAACGGTAAATGAGAGAACTGAATACCACTAAATGCTTCTGAGGTGGGCTGAGCCTTGAAAGTGGGAGCTGACAGGCAGTGCGCCATACTTGTGCTTACGGCCTTTCCTTTCCAAGTTAGTAGTCTGCCTACCCCTAAACGTGCAAGTGTAAAGTAAGTTCAGTTTTCCTTTGAAGACCTGTTGTACTGTATTTGGCAGCTGAACCCAAAGTATGAGATGGAGCAGCTCATGTTGTATTAAATGCACCTTTTAACACAGTGCAACTAGAACTACTACTGAAAAAACAGATCAACATACAAATATCATTCTCTTTAGGATTTATCATTTTCAGTTATTATTGCTAGTAGATAAGTGACAGTGTCTTAATGTTATGAATATGTGTAATAAAATGGAAAGTAAGGGGAGGAGAATACAGGCTTCTGTTGATCTGTGTTCTGTCTTCAGTGAAATTACTGGTTTTTTAAACACTGATGTTTGTGCCCTACCTTAAAGATATAAATACCCCATACCCCTCCAGACCTTTTACCCTCAGCCAAAATGCGCATGCTGCGTTACAATAAACGACTGAAGCTTCTGCTGTGTCAACATAGTTTCTCATTAGCTGCCTTCTTAATATAAGCTATATATAGAATGTTTATTGCTGTGGCTAGACATAAATACAAAGGAAACTCCAATGAAGTTGTTTTCATGCGGCCTAACTTTAGTTCTGAACTATGTCTGTTAAGATACCAACAAATGTAAGAGTTAAGTGAAATAAATAGAAATTACCACCAGTGTAATTCTGAAAAGGAATATTACTTTACTTAGCTTTAACCAGAAGGTAGGTTTTAAGATGAAGGTTCATAACCTTCACGCTGCTGTGACAGTTTCTTGGCTCCTGCTTGGAAATACTCCTTTACAAGTGATGTATCTTCATAAGAAAAAAAAACCAACAAAACCTGATGAAATGCATACTTTAACTTCAGTGTAGTTCCTAGAGTTGCACCTCCTCCTTGAAGTCTTCCAACCTGTGTGCTTTCATTTTTTTTATTTTATTTTAAATATTGTAAAAGGCAAAAAGAGTTAACCAGTTACAGAGCTTCTACATAGTGAAATATATCATGTTTTATATAAATATACATACAAAAATATAACATATATAATTTTAGTCCTGCAAAGAAGCGGAATAGCCCATTCAGTTCATACCAGCTCTGTTGAGTACAGATTTCTTTAATTCTTGTGAGATGACGGTTTTCTAATCTTTAGGATTGTAGCAAAACTGGCTCGAAATTATGATAAACATTGAACACATTCAATAAATGGCCATTTGCTCTATATGCATTCGTTGATGTACTTTTGTTTACCTGAGCTGCGAAAACTTACCTGCTGCTCATCTCTTCTTGTATTAATCCCTGCAGTGAGTCATCTTGTTTTGTTTGTTTCTTTTGGGATGAGTAACATGGATTTTTCACCTGATAAAGTCAGACTTGTTTTTCTTCTTGAACTTCTATTCCTAGAAATTTTCCACAGGTGAGCCTAGTTTGGTTAGTCTTCATAAGTCTGCAGATCTAAACTGCTGTTGCTTACAGCTTTGCCACTTGCGGACAGTAATGAGAAGACACTGCTCAATTGATCTGACACAATGCATACTTTAGACACTAGCAAAATGGAGAAGAAAGCGTTCAAGTTCATTGTTGTTTTTGAGGGGTTGCCCATAATTTTGGAAGCACAGAGTTCTCTGGGTCTCTGTAATCTGTTGTCTTCTTATGCCATCTATCTGTACTGAGTGACTTTATTGAAGTCCTTCTGTACTGTGCTATCATTGATAGAAATGCATCAATTTGGTTTTATGTGACAAAATCAGTGATGACTGGAATGGTCTTGTGGAAAATATTACATTTGCATTATATGGATGTTTCATCCATATATGCTAGAATTGCTTAGTACCTTATTCACCATCTTGATCAGTGGGTATGGGCCCATATTGCTGCTAAATACCTTCATTCTACCATTTAAGTTAACATAGTACTTTCCCAATTTAAACTGAAAAATGGTAATGCAGAGTATTCTATTGCCCAAATTTCATTGCTTTGGGACATACTTGCTGAAGGAAAGTAGAGAAAAATAGCGTATAGTAAATGTAGCTTTATAAATACTACTGATACAAAATTATTAATTTGAGTTTTACTGAAATATATCAAAACTTGATTGGAAAGCACTTCAAAGAACTGGGGTGGACCTGTAATTCTGAAAAAGCAGAAGTTTCAATTAACAGAAATATCAAGACGTGTCGAACCCATTTAATGAAGGTACAGTTTTCTCAGTGCAGGCTCACTGTAGATCTAGTAGTGCATGGTTGAATTGATTCACAGATTGAGATCTGCGGCAGCAACTGGATGCTTCTGTAGTTACTGCAAAAAATGTATTGGTTTTCACTGAAAATGTCTATTTGCCTTGAACAAGGATCATGTTGTTTTCTTGGTTATTGGAAACAGTGCTTTTACTATGCATGCAGTCACATTCTTGATTTAAAACAAAAAACCCAAATGTTCACTATTGAGTTGCTGCATTCCACTACTGATGGTAGCACCAGGGGTTCTTTTGTAGACAAAACTCCCATGTCCTACTTCATTAAAAGGCAAGTTTCTAGAAATACTTTTGTATTTTGGAGCCAGGTTACTGTGATCAACCTCAGATAATTACAATGTCATTACAGTAAACCTCGTATTACTTGACAGTAGGTTCCTGATAGCGAGTCAGCCATTTTTTTTGTGTGTGTATTCACAGAATATTTTACTAGGCAAAAGAGTATGTGATGCAAGCAGGGTAACTGGCAAACAAAAATATAGATTGTGTTTTTTCAAATATAGTTTTCTTCAAGGAAGTGTGTCTTCCAAAAATTTAATTCCACAGGAATATTTTTTGCAGCCAGAATAAAATATGTTAGCATTTCATGTGCACTAGCCCTCTGTCTTCTCTTTTTTTTTTTTTTTTTTTTTTTTTGGTATTGCCCATTTCAGAGCCTATTTAAGGCTTTGGTTATTTTATGTTCTTTTTGTGGGTCTGTGGTGTATTGTAATTGTTAGTACAGTATTTGGGTTTCTTGCTTTATTTTGTCCAGAGCAAGATGACTTCTGAATTGTTCAGGCTAAAAGGAACCTGTTATTTTCTATGTGTTTCTCTTTGGAATTTTTTATTTCTTCCCCTCCCTGCCCCAGGAGAAATTGTATTATGGCTTAGAATTTTCAAGGCTGACATCCCTTCCCTGTCATTAAAAACTACTTATTTTTCTGCCATCCTGAAACTGTTAAATGGGGGTTTGGGAGTTTTTCTTACCAAGCTATACATATTTTTTCAGCTTCTGTTAGCTGGATGTCAGTGGGCAAAAGAGAACTCATACATTCAAAATTGTTTATACTACAGACTGTTCCTGACATAGCCATCCCAGTCAGGAAGAACGGCATCCTTGACGGTATCCTAGCTGTGTTAGTGTATAATTTACTGATATAACTTGTTCTTGGGTCCATATTAAGATTTGTTTTTATAGCTGTGTTGGGGAGTGTGCTGGCAGTATGGGGTGTGCTGGTGTAACTATGGTAAAAGGCTCCTGGTACGGGTGTAACTTTCAGAGGCGATTGAAGCCAAGAGCTAGAGAAGATTTTAAGAGAAACTCAATGATGGCATGGATATTGTAATAGACAATTATTACAAAAAACAGGTTTGAATATAACAGTAAACCTCACAATTCAGGCTCTGAGCCAATCTATGAAAAATGAGGATAATGGCTCCCTTTTATAAGTGGCAGGGGGAAGAGTAGAGTGTAGGTTATCCCACAGTTGCCTGCTACATGGTAAAGAATTATTTGATGTGCCGGGAGCTTGGACTCCCAACTGTATTTGAAGGAGTGTGTCCATGTGAATTGTTTAAAAAATGTGATTCAGTGTAGCCAGTGTGTTCTGTCAATTTGACATAAGTGCAATTGTGTGTTCTGTCTTGATGCTGATTAAATCTCTGTACTAGTGGGTGATCTGGCATTACCAACTGTGAACTGTGTCTTGACAAACTAGCAGGAGCAGGTCCATCCAGCCAAATTGCTCCCATGAAAGTTGTGGTCCTGCTAAAGGATACTGAAGATTCTTTTTTTTTTTTTTTTTTCTGATGTTTTTTCAGG